TTCCTATCAGAATGGTCAGGTCCTTTGTTGGGCACTTCTCGATGATTGACTGCAGCCTATAGTAGAATTGATCTTAAGCGTCTTCATTGTAATCGTTGGTAGGTACATAGCATTGGATGATGTTCATTGAAATGCCCTCTTTCTTTGTCTTGAATAAGGCTTTGATGATCCTTTCTCCATGAGATTCCCATCCTATAAGCGCATTTCGCGCTTGTTTAGACAGCATCAATGCAACTCTTCGTGTATGTGGGGCATTTTCTTCTTCATGGCCGGAGTATAACAGAAGCTCTCCTGAAGTTAGTCGTTGTTGTCCAACTTGCGTCCAATGTGTTTCACTGATCCCAAGTACCTCTAGGTTGTATCTTCTCATTTCTGCAGCAATTTGGAAGGCTATCCCGGTGTCACACATTGTACGAACATTCAATGTACCTAAATAAATGGTCGCTCTGGTTGTCAGAAGGGGCATCGGCCTCGTAACCTCTGAAGAAAATTGGCTTTCATCATGAGGCGTCATAGTTCTTCTAAATGAAGACCTTCTGGCTCCCAGGGCAGAGTTTAAAAGGTTTGAATAATTTTTTCTGGTTAGCGTTTTTTAGCGAGTTAGTTTTCTACGAGATGGGGACGCTAACACTATGCCCAACCCTCCTACTTTATCCGGGATTAGGACCGGCAGTAACCCCCCGGAGGGACTCCAGGCGGAGTTAACCTATCATTTGGGACTGGTATTTTATTTTGCATTGTTCAGCGTGTCATTGTTAGCCATCATTATACCTGCTCACAATGTTTATGAGTGGGGGCAACATCAAGGCAACTCACAGAGGATCCGTTCATACTATTAAGAGATTGATCGACTGCAGTTCTAAGCATTAATGGGAAGATTTAAACGATGAAAACAAAAATGAATTAGGTTTTATTTGTTATTTAAGACACAGTCGGAAAATTATATTCTGAATGGTAGGGCTTTTTATTAAGCTGCCAGAAACTGAGTTCCTGTCAAAATCTTTAATTCCATCAAGTGATTTTTAAGTAGAGTAGGTAAATAGTGATGAATTCCGTCAAGAAATGTCATTTTTAATCAGTCATATCTATTTCACATAGTGGGGCTGATTCGAATTTCAGAGAGATGTTTGTTGGTGTAAGTTCATTTGGCAGAAGCGGAAATTTTTAGACAGATGTGAATGTAACTTTGTGATATTTGATAATGTGACACGGTCATCGAAATCCAAATGACCTGTAGATAAAATACGTCTACAAAAGTAAGGTCAAACGCAGAAACCAAAAACATCTCAAACAAGACGAGGAATTGTTTCGAATTAAATTCTTTATCCAACGGTCTACGTCAACTGTTGGTAGTGGTTTTGAGTCTTACATATTTGTTTAGTTGGTGGAAGGCTTTTGTGCAGCATCCAAATAGTCAGTTCATCATAATCAAGAGTTTCTGCACATTACTTATGAGAAAGACCTTAGCTCTCCTCGTTCGATATCCGAGCAGAAGAATACGATTTCATCTTTTATTTATGTTCGGAACTGCAGCTTTTGTAGTCTTCTGATTTACTTATGCATATTACGAGAAGGTAAAAATAGCCCAAGATATTTTCGACATGCGACGACGTTTATTTGAACGATCGAAACTTCCAGGTTAGTGTAACCTTGATTATTGTCACTAATAAGCAGATGTTTTGAGACGTTAATTAGACATATCATTGGACTTCGAAGTGCAGCTAAAGTCCATCGTGAAATGGACGGATGTCTGGACTGCCCCATATTTTCAACAGTGGATCAGAGAAGTGTAGGTCGACGAATTTTTGATGTCGTGGATACATAGCAGCTCACATGCAACCTAGTTTTTTAAAAGCTGATTAGCAGGTTTTTCGTGTGGTTCCGTCGTTGCACCAATTGATCCAGATCCAGTTCCTGTATTCTATCAACAATTTCAATTTCATATAGCTGACAAGCCGTATAACAACCCTAGAGAAATATTACCTAGTTCCGTAGAATAAGACGTCAGTAGCAAATTGGATTGCTTCCATATTCAGTGATGACAGTAAAGGCGGGGCTGAAGCAAACGCAGATATGCAAGTGACCAATGTAATTCTAGAGCCTAGTGAAAACCTGACAATGAACATTGTCATACTTGTTCTGGATGCTATTTATTCCAACCTCCAAGCGCAGAATGTGGTCCTCGTGAATGGGCCAGATGTCAGTCACCTCATCTGTTCTGCAAGGATCGCTGAGGGTGACTTTTTGTGTATGGTGAGTTACGCTTACGATGTGTAGTCATGTATTTTGTTAGTAGATACTAGGCTCAATAATAATCTTCATGGTAAATATCAACGAACATTCAACGAAAACGCAACATAGAGCTTTTTGGGCCTCCTCAATAATCTAAATTAATTTTATTCACTCAATGCATCGGTCCGGTCACTCGATAGAAATGGTTATCCAATAACCTTTCTGCCAAGTGCTTATCATAAGTAGCATGAAAAGGATCAAGTATAACTGCTTGTTGGTAGGTATGAATTTCTTCACTCACGATGTCTAAATAATGTATCGTTTCGTTTGTGATCATTAGGCATCTTAGACAGATTGACCTTGTATCAGATAGTAAATATGAGTTATTCTACGTCCAAGACAATTGGTAACATGCCAACTTTCATTTGTCTGTCACCGACATCTTATTTCACCAGTGAATTCAAACTGGCGACATTAACTTAATGTGTGCATACGATTATGAAAGGATATTTTCTTCATTGAAACGTTGACATTCTTTTTCTTACTTATCTTTTGTTCATTGAAGATCAATATTGGGCAATCATTGAAAACATGGAAGCACTAGACGGCTGTTTCGTCCTAGAATGAGACGTCCAATCAGTGCACATCCACGATCTCAGACGCGGCATTCGAACTCAAGAGATTCGGCCTCGCGGAAAATATCTAGTTGTTTGTGGCTTCAATGCCGTAGATGAAGGATATGTCATGAACACCTCTTTTGAAAAGGTAGCACTTTAACTTGTTGTTGATTAGATTAGTTTGTTCTCAGGTGAACTTTTAGCTATGACCACGATAAACTTATGTTTATTAAGAGTGAATTTTCTCATTCATCTACTCGCTCGCATGTATAATGTATTCACATTGAGATCTAATACTAAACTATTTTGGCATTCTATATTTTTCATCTGTGCAATAGTTGACAATTGAGCATTTTTAATCTTCTATTTTTATCCGGTGATTCAGTTGATATTTAAGTTGTAGTTACTCACATTTATCACGAGAACACGACTGGTTTAATAAAAACAATTATTATTATAACCAATTGTACCAGTGCTTGCTTTAATGTGCTTTTGTTTGACTGTGCTAATGACAGCTATATTGTGCTTCCATTCTCATTCACACACTTCGATTGTAACTTCACGCGAATTCGGTTACCTTCTGTAGCCAAGCTTGTATCCTGGCACGATCTCGGTATCCTTTTGATGCCACGAGATCGCCAGCAAATAAACCTCGACTTGGTCCATTAATTGCCTTCTGATATTTAGCTTCTCGGGGATTTAATGGGGTAATTTTGCACGAGCTCCTTGGTAGCGGTGTTCATAGTCAATCTCCACTCGACGCCACGCAACAATTGGTGATCCCAACTTTTTGAACACACTACAAAGTCATAATCGAATTTATTCTTAGTGTGACAGCCTACAAATAACTACACGCGACTGAAAAAATACTTAGTCCGTTGTCCACATGATAGAGATGATAGCAGTTACTACTCTTTTAGTTCCAGTGCTTATTTCACCATATCATTTCTTGCAATTTTCTTTCATTTTAGAAATGATTATCAGTATTTCATTCACTGTTTATTATTACTCATGAATACGTCTGTGTATCCCCAAACATTTTTCGGCATTATTCAATAAAATTACACCAAGTTACAGTTTTTAAGGTTTAAATATTTTGATCATACGAAAATATATCCTTCGGTATCAGTTAACGATGAATCTAAAAATTAAATTGTTTTAAGTCTTGTACGCAGTTGATAATTAGCATGTTCATTATTAAACAGTCAACCCACTATGTAGAAGTTAAATACCATGATTTGTCTTAATTCATTATCAATTAAAGTTGGTTACTTCAAGAATTGATTGTTACAAATAGTTGATCTGATTGAAATATCTGATTATAAAACTACGATCATAACCATTCAGTGAAAATGAGGCATTATCCATGGAACTTAACCCTTCAAGTTGCAATGAAAAGGATGAGTAAAAGTAAAACAGTGACCACATGATTGATCTCAAAAACAAATTAAGAAGTCAACAACCAGTGGAGTCCAAACCGTGTCAAGTTTCAGAAAGCTGTCCATCTCAGACAATGGATGAAGCGGTAGCGCAAGATCATGAGTCGACTGAAGTAAGACATTGAGACTGTGAGATGCTGACTCAATGGTAAGGAAATTAGATGTTTACATTCAAGACCATAAGTCTTGTGTTCAAGTCCCTATGTTGCGGGATAGCAGATGTACACTGCTAAAGAGTCCCAAACTAGAACGAAACGACCATAAACTGCTTCCAGGATTTCAATACTGGTTTAGCCTAGATCAAACCGTGAATTCAACTGTTAAACATCAAACCAATGAAATGAGTGATTTTTGAAAAAGGTGAAAAGGCATAAACGTTTTGAAATTTATTGCCCACCGCTCCGCTCCGTGTGAAACGTGGTAGCCTAATAAATTTGTCAGCAAATACTCCCGATCGCGTTCACATACACAGGACATTCATGTGATAATGATCTGAGTGCTGCAGGATCAACACTTGCAGAGTATCTGATGTTGTTATTCGTCTAATAAATATTAGTGTTCTATTACTGAAAATAGAACAAAATTACAATCAAGTAGAAAATTTCGTGTGCAAATATAAATAGTTCGAGAAAATAAAACTGATTAGGAAACACAGGAATAAATCGTGAAAAAAAGTAAAAGCAGTTAATGAAACAAGGTTGAGAAAACTCACATAAACTTGAGATGATATCATCAGAAACTACAGAACGTTGAGTGGTACTGCTCGAAGAGATTACGTCAGGACAGGCAAACGTTTTGTAATCATCGCAGAAACTTTGATAAACATTCTCGGATATAACGCTTGTGCAATTATTGTCGATGCATGTTTCGTCTTCACAAATAATAAAAGAGAAATGTAGTGCATATTTTAGTCACATTCTACTTCATACTCAGAATATTGCTGTCAGTTCATTAGCTCAAAATTCATGTTTTAAAGAAACATTGAACTGATGTAACATTTATAATGACGTCTGACAATGTCAAGTAGATCATTTTCATCAGTGAATTTCAAACATGAATTACACTACTTCACCACTGAACAACATATATATCGAATAAGGAAATGATTTAATTTCCTTTTTTTAACTAGAATTTCAGAATAACTATTTCTTTGTGTGTTTTCGTTCATGTGATTTGCTAATTTTTTCGATTTTCACTCCATGGTTTGTTTGTTTTGTCAAGTCATTTTATATAAAATCACCAGACCAGTACATCCTGCTGAATTTCTGGTTGTTTCCTTCGACCTCAGGATTTTTCTAAACACGTTATTATAGCATCTCGTTAGTAACTTAATTCTGTGGAAAGTAACCTGATTAAGAAAGCACTAACCATGAAACGTCATTTTGTCTGTCAAATTATTGTTTCATTGTGGGAAGTTTTCGTTGTGAATTCTCCTCTTTTTTAGACGACTCATGACTCTTAATGGTGAAAGTCACAATTCCTCGAAAATAACAAGATCTATGCTTATTTTAGCAACCAGAACACCTAATAATTTAGGCACATGAAAAGTCCGGACTGTGAGACACCAGATACACAAGTTGAATAACTGTGGAAATAATAAGATGCAATCTGATGGTGCTTGCAATAAGTGAAACCCACTAGATACATATTTAAGAGGAAGGAATAAATTTGAGAGAAGAACATGATCAACACACAAGTAGTTGGGCTAATTCATTTCAAGGAAGCTAGGAAAGCGCTTATGGGGTGATAATCTCATAAATCTAGGCCATCGAGGCATCCTTCAAAACAAAGAAAGGGATTACAACCAATGTCATTCGGCAGTGTGCACTTACCAATGATAGCAGAGTAAAAGTTAATGATTAGTCCTATGAGAGGCTGCAGTCCTGTTTAGATTTAGCCGTTTAAGCAACGTTAAACGGTTTATTAATTCGCGCGAAAATATTACCCCATTCATTCCATATAAAAACAAAACGGTCACTCCAGACCTGACACCTTACCTATGTCCAGTAACAAAACGTGAAGTGGTAGGATTTTATGGCTGTTACAGCACATAACCAACTAGAAACATCTTCCAGTACTGCAGGTAGTATTAAATACATCAATGATATGCATGACATGAATGTGCAAACGATAAATCACTCTGCCGTTCTAGATATGCCTACAAATCAGAAGTCTTTAGATGATATACGTATTCTAACTGACACCAGAAAACATGACGACAGTTACAGTTCTAATCCAGGCTTGAATGATGACCCACAAACAACCAAACCTAATCAAGTAAAAGCTAGCCCTCTTAAATGTATTACAGAAGATCACCCGAACATCCAAATAAAAATGGTTCCCAAATATGAAAACGTTCATAAAAACTGCCAATTACATACATGAGAACCTCCCAAAGTTAACACTGAAGCAAATAGCTATGACTCAAGCTACGAGCTTTACTAATAAGGTTAAGCCAAAAATAACGTATAATCCACAGTCAGCCCGCACAAAATCTTTTAGAGGTAAATCTCCTAGTGGCACATCTGGTGAGGTATCTAGCCAGAGTGACATCGGGCCACATGCGAAAAATAAACTTGCTTCCTCACTACAACTTCGATCAAACAATACTTTCACCACTCTCTCCTGGTTAAACTCTCTAAGCAACTTTACTAAGCCATTTGATAAATCCCTCCTCAACCCTTGTTTGCAACACAGCAAGCTATCAAGGAACAACTGATCCATCACTTTAAATCCGTATTACAACTCTGAGGGTCATAATAACTCGTTCACTCTAGATGCTCTCACTCACTTCAAATTGGTAAGACATTTGTTCAATATATGCCTTATCAACGCTCGGTCGATCTGTATTATTAAACAGATTTAGCACTGCCCTCATTTCTTTATCAACAATCACCTATAATGATATCTGAAGCATGAATTACAAGTAATATATCCGGTTTATGTATAGTTCTTGATAACTAATTCCCATATCGAGATGATGCGTTACAAAGACAAGGCTGAGGCTGTCTTATATATACTCACTCCAGAATACTTTCGCTCTCATATGATATGCCAAAATCAGAAAAACTACGGGACTCTGTGTGGATTGTTTTGGTGCTATCAAATTCAGTTTCTTTACTGTTCGGCTGTGTTGTTCGGTTGATAAACTTCCGAAACTGCCCAAGATGCATTGATTGGAAGGACCTTCTTTATCGTAAACACTACCAACTAACTAGCTAATACGTTCTATCACATTACAAATAATGTCTTCGATAAATTCACGCTCAAGGGATACTGGAGACTGAGAATTTCTAAGCATCTGTATATACTGGTCCATATAAGAAGACATCTTTTTGGACATGCATACGATTCTGCAATTTCAGTGGCTTTTCCTATTTGGTTACCGTTTCAAATGTTTTTAAGGTAGAGGCAGTACATGCAATAAAATTCTCACAGGAAAACATGCCACTGAACTTGATTATTACTCCTCCGCATTTATCAGACTCCTTCAAAATAAAATAAAATGCTCAAAACTGAAAAGAAAAAAACAGATTTATTAGGGACAATCAAGTATACGAATATCCTCAACCTATCACAGAACTGTTATGTGTATACTACTCATGTCTATAAACATGAGTAGTTTGTGATAGCAATTGGAAGTGGAAAAACCTGGCAGCAGAAGAATAAGAGATCGGGTTGAAGAGAATAGAAAGAACTTATGGACTGGAAGAATCAAGCAGAATATGAAGAACGAATAACAAAAATTTGCAAATGAAGTGTTTGATGTAGTTCTCATATTTCACCAATGAACTCTGAAATTTTGTATTTGAATATAATTAAGGATAATTTGGAGTCCACATCATGCTCTACAGCGTATTACTCACTGCCTGGTAAGCTACACATGTCAACCCCAGAACTAAATCACATCCTGTATCAAATGTTGAAAATTACCGGCCCATAAACATGACCTCAGTAGTATTTAGTGGTGAAGATAGTAAGAAACGAGTCAGTAATTCAACATCTACTTGGTAACCATCTAATCTTGATCACCTCGATAATATAACATTAATACGAATCAAAGGGCTCCTTGTATCAGTTATATTCTTCGAATTTAAGAATACGTAGACTATCCTATGGACGTATCAAGGTACCATAGACGCTTTGAAGACTGTACATCACAGAGGACGTTAATACAGAAATATATTAGTTAAAGTAGATAAAAACGAAATTAAGACCACTGCTGCATTGTCCAGTACATGACATACGATTACCTGATGCGCTTTGGTTGTCCTTAACCTTGACGAGGATCGATGATTTGTTCGATATTCAATGACCTAACTGCCGGATGATTTGGCCACGGCTTAGTGGCATTTCGCTGGCCCGACATGCTGCTGATCACAAAATATGGTACTCAGCTTTAGACTGAAGCTTTGATTGTAAGTATATCCCAGACTCAAAGTAACTTCGGTAACCCATCTATCTGAAGTAAAGTATGGCAGTTACCATATAACCTCAACACATGCAGTTTAGAAACTCTATACAGAGTGTTATCCTACTATCTGATAAACTACACATGTCAACGCCAGAACTACATCACATCCTGCAGCAAATGTTGAAAATTGCTAGCCCATAAACATGACCTCGGTAGTACCTAGTGACGGAGAATGTAGTTAAGTCATTAATTCGATATCTACTTGCTAATAATCTCATCTCTACCTATCAGAGTGCTTTTCTGAGGTTCAGTTCACGTGAAACATGTTTGATAGACCACCTGAATGAGACCGTACTTTTATGCTGATGATCACAAAATATGGTATTCAGCTTTAGACTGAAGCTTTGATCGTAAGTATATCCCAAACCCAAAGTAACTTCGGTAACCCATCTATCTGAATTAAAGTGTGGCAGTTACCATATAACCTCAACACATGCAGTTTAGAAACATCTCCATGAACTACTACTTCACTTTAATATAATATAGAGCTCGGACACTCAATTCAGTGCACGAGCTGGTTATTAATTACACAGAAAGCCAAAAATTCGACGAACATTGTTCCACTATTATCTAAATGGCTCATGTGTTTCGTAATAAAGAATTTCTTTACAACGGAAGCTATGCTTACTGTTTACAAAATACTTATACAACCCTCTCTTGGATGCCCCACTTTAATATTATCATACAGGAATACCACAGACCAGTAGATGACGGAAGAAGTTCCGGACGTCAACTACTAAGATATGACTTCACTCTCGAATACACAGATAAATACAAGCCCTAATAATGAGATTGATTATTCACCAATCCATATGTATACATTATTATCTGTTAAACTGTTGCTTGCACAATACTAAAAAAAAATCCAAACTGCTACTGAGGTACGTTTCATGACCACTGGGTGGTGATTCAATATGACATTTCACTGTCGCTGATATTAGGTGTATTAACTAATCAGTTGAATGCACATAACGTATGTTCCGTGCGTTACAAAACCTGACAATAGAAATTCCAATTTTCAAAAATAGAAAAACAAGTGTTCTGGGTATAGTTTAAGAAAGAACTACTTATCTATTTGATTTGTTGATATCAAAATATCAAAACGTCTAGGCGTAAAGTCTGTGTGTATACATGGAAAAGTACTTATTTTATTGTTATCTGGCTTAGTTTAAAAACACATTTCAGTCGGATACTATAGTTTGCAATTGTATGAGAAGATTGGTCATATGAAGACAGTCAAGTTTATTGGCATATGATAATGAAGCTGATCAACACATAACGAACCGTGATGTTCAATTACAACACATGAATATTTTATTACTTGTGAAATCTTTGCCATGAGCATTATAATAGTGATATGAGCAAAAATAGGTAATTTTATTTGACATAAAAACAAAGCTTACGGTTGGTACTGGACTTGAGATGGCGTACGAGAAATATTGTTGATACTACCAATGCACATACTGCACCGATTACAAGAATAGATAAGATGAGTTTTTGCCGTTTAGACAAGCTTTGAAATATCATTCTGTTTATCTTTAAGACAACTGTTGGTTGAAGAACCTTCACATAACTTGTTTAACTAAACAAGTATATATATACTTTGAAAGGAGCTTTCTTAGACAAAACAAATATATTAGGAATTTTATTGTATCAGTGTCGATAAAATTCAGCGCTATATCATTTAATACCGATGTGATTATCTTAATTATGAATATGCTTTGTTGTTTACAAATTTGTTTAACCCATAAATAATTCTTAATAAGACCATATCGGTTGGCAGGAAGAGGTTACTACACATTTCAGACTACGCCTCCATATATATGTTATTATTCAAAATCAGGTCAATTAATTAAAATTTGTTGAAATATTATGTACTGTTGTTTGTGTGAGGCTTGATAATATGAGCTCAGTTTAGTGCATTGGATCACTTGCTATTTATAGTAATAAAGAGACTTTACTGATTACATTTTAGGTGTAGATATTTCTGGATACATCAGATATATACAGGCCATGTAAAAAAGTTACTTTTCAACCAACTATTTGAGTCATTTTTAGTGATCATAATAGCACAAAGATATATACGTATTGTTACTGACTGGATAACATTATCTGTTACGTAAGTTAATAAAACGGCTTGACAAAAATTAACCATTATTGAAATCGATTGTAAGAGATTTGCTATAATAGCTCCGTCTTGGAAACAAAAATGTATGAAAAAATATCTGTGTTTGCAAAAAGAGTGGCAAACTGTGTGGAATAATTACAATCCTTCGAAGATATCAGCTTACAGAGATTTACGATAAAACTTATGTGTTTTCGCTGTGTATCTGTGTTTGTGCCGGTGCGCTGGGTTATGCGAAATGTTGATTAGTAATAAAATTAAATTCCATCATTTTGAAAGTAATATACTGTGGTGTTTGAATGAATTAATGATTTCTTTTTACTTGTTGAATGTTTGACTTCGAATTCCAAACACAGTGCATTCGTTCGTGCTTATCTAGTACGTCTTGATCCAATTATGTTATTTCTGGGATTCTTAGTTCGTACTATAATCTAAATACTCCTAATCATCATATATACATGTAATCGATCTGCATAACTGTTGTGATGATTAGATAGTTTTTATTTTGACACAAACTAGATAGCATGGATTAGCTGTTTAATGAACCATAAATGTATATTCTTGTAATAAATTAAAATGACGAGTAAGTACATTTCGATTGAATACTACACTAAGAACAAATTTGAGAAACTTTTATGAAATTTTATTGTTTGCCTGGAATTTGAACTTTGATAATAAAAGGCTCATATTATTCTGATTTCTGTTTTTGTCACATCACTTTAACTAATGTGTCTTAAGTCCATATATAGATTTCTGTTTCTTGTAATTAACTATTTCAGTGATTGTTTTCATTTGATAGTATATGAACTTTTTAGTGTGATATATGTGACAGTTCAAATCTCTAATGTTCCACACAAAATTTCAGCTCCCAATTATCAACAGTCACTCTAGAACATTCACATAAAATATCAGATAACAAAAGATCATGGTCATTAAATAATGACTATTCCACGTTCACTGAATGTAATAAATCTTAAGTGATTGATTAAATTCCCCTGCAGCACTTCTAGTACTACTGCTTTCCCAAATCCACACAAAGGATGAGGGTTGGGCATAGGTCGGCGACACCAAACTGTAAAAAACAACCTTATTAAAAAACGCTAGCCAGAGCAAACAATTTAAACCATTTAAACTCTGCCCTGGAAGTTGATGGAAGACCTATGACACTTCACGATGAAGGCTGAGACTCTTCGAAAGTTACGAGGTTGATGCTACCAACCAAATGGCTTCGAGAATGAAAAGATACAACTTGGCAGTACTCTGAATCAGTATAACCTATTGAAAAAAAGCTGGACGACAAAGGTTACGTACGGGACAGTTGCCGCTGTGCTACTGTCTTGAAGAGGAAAATGCTCCACACACTCAGGGAGTTGCTCTGACGCATGTGTTCTACTTATAGGATGGGAATCTCACGAATTCAGGATCATTAAAGCATCTTTCAGAGCAATGAGAGAGAAAACCATGATATATATTATCGAAAATTGTCTAATATTTTCCAATATTGCCCAATGATAGCAGTGGTGACGATAGAGATAAGTTCTACTCGAGGCTTCAATCGATCATAGCAGTGTGCTCGGGAATAGACCTGACAATCCTGGCGGGAAGTCTAAACTTCGGGCTTGAGAGGAAATTAGGTAAAGTTAATGGAAGTGGAGGGGACGCTCTAAGGAAATTATGAAAATGCGTCACGAGATAAGCGCTAAATCGGAATCTTGAAGGGAAAAAGAAAGGTAGAAGGTCAAATAGCGCACTGAGTCATGAAATAGGGACAGACATGAAAAGTATGAGTGGCAAATGGAAAGAAATGCTCAAGATAGAATTGAAAATCCTGGTGAACGGTCTATGCTCTTCATGAGGGGTAGCAGGCGAAAGTAAGTACATAAGTAGATAATCACTTATATTCTTTGAAAAAATCAATCACTTTTTAATACTGCACATATTGCGATACGTAATATTCGTAAGATGAAGGAAATTTCGTACAAATAAATTCTTTCAACAAATACATAGACGATTTGTGCTTACCCTTACATTTATTCACAGTACTGCTGTGGTGTGAGCTACTTCTACTGACGTAAGTAGTATATAACGTGCGTTAAAGGAACGTAATGTCTGGCAGCGGAAGATGGCGAAGATCAAGAAAGGTAGAGCGAGAACACATTGGAATTTGTAAGAAAATGCATGAGCAATGGAATGGGAGGCAATGGAATGGTGTTTGCAACAGAAACAGTCCAGTTTGGTTTGATGCATGGATATTTTGCAAATTGACGATTGACTAAATGGTATTCAGATTTTGTTGAGATAGACTGTAATTGTTGTGCTAAATACATCCGTTTGTCCCCACCCGTGTTCTTGTTCACTACACTGCTATTGTAATATAAAAAATTTTCAGCTTTTATTATATGTATAGAGTGAATATCCAATTTTGGCTTTCTTGTTATTCCTTATTGTAATGAATTCAGTCATGTGGTTTTTAGACGTTTATTTAGTTCTCAACTTTCAGTCAAAAAGACCTCTGAAAAAATTTTCATTCTTACTTCTACCTCAGACTCATTTCTGAAGTGTGACTGAAACAGTATAATAAATCAATACAGAGATTATAACTAGTTATGGAGTAACTAATATCTTAATCCTACTTCATTAAAGTTGGTTGTCTCTAGTGAAGTATTACGAATCAAAAGAAAATATATGTGTGGTACTAAAGCGGTTCCTAAATTTTATAATTTGTAATAATACACACTGTCATTTTAAAAATTAGAACAACACATGTAAGCGAACAACTTTGATTTTACATAGATCTGCATCTGGCTTCAACCTAATATACCATACGTCTACTCTCAACTGAACATTTCAAGATAGAGTTCTGAACTTTATTCGTCTGGCCTTTTCCCAACCAAACTAGGGGATGTTCTTACATACGTTAGTTAAGTTGCCTGATTGCACGCAGAATACAGATGTCTGTGAATGAACACCTCACTTTATTGTTATACATGTTAAAGGTCATCTCGGACAATTTGTGCTTTGTTTTATTAGATATCAGTTGTCTACTAGAATATGTCAACGCAAGTTTAGATGTGTAAAATGCCGTAATAACGGCTCCTTCAAGTCTTCCATATTATTTTTCATTATTGATGATGACAGTCGTGGCGTAACTTCTTCAGTGGTTAATTTTAAAGATATGACCTGTATAGACTTTAGTAAAGAAGAGGTGATCATCCTTTGGTTTCTTGGGTGAGAATGTTGTTACATGATCACAAATCACTGTTATAGTGAATAAAACAGATCACAAGAATAAAAATATATTTTGCACTGAATAGTCATCATATTGAACTAAAAGTGAAAGTTATGTTGAGCGGGATTCACAATGAGTTAAAATAAAGTTTTGCCTATTATCCAGTTGTTGTTCAAGGCTCCATGCTTTTGTTCTTCATTTCTTTCGCCAATGACCAAAAACGAGGTTTCAGTAGTGTTGTTCGTCACCTTTGGTGAATTCTGATTGATGCTGATTACGCATGAAGTTTCCTTATTCCATCCGCGTCAGCTACGTTGTTCTTCGCGTGGCGTCGAGTCGCGGTTGACTATGATCACCACTACACTGAAACTACGTTCCAGTTACTGTGTTGGATCCCTCAGTAAGCCAAATATCAGAAGGCAATTGAAGGTAGCAGTAAGATTTATTTGTTGGCAATCTCGTGGTACCAAAAGAACACTGAGATTGTGCCAAAGAGTACACGTAGAACTACTGAGCGTAACCGAGAGCGTGCAAGGTCACAGGCAACGGAACAATGTATGTTTTTAGCGCAGTTAAACAAACAAGTAGAGTAAAACAATCACTGATACAATTGGTTATAATAATAGTTGTTTCCATTATACCAATCGCATTCTCCTGATAAAAGTATGTCACTACAAACACAAACTGGGAAAGATTATAATTGTCGAGTTTTCCACGGTAAACAATTACCATGCATGCTGCGTAATCCTTTTGCGAAAGGTTCTTTATCCTCATACACAGTAGAATGTCACATCTTCTCTTGTGTTGGAAATGCACTACTATCAAGTTAACCTCTGGCGGTTCTCTTCTGAACTTACTATACCTCATCTGAGTAAGATTCACTGTCTTTGAAAAAATGTCATCAGTTGCCATGTGTCATTCGTTAATTTCTGGTGTTCCTGTAATTATCTAATGATATATGGATTCTAGGCCTGTCCTTGCAGAGCACACATGAGTGGTTGTAGCGTTGAAACACAGTTCGTCACAGATCGTCTATGATTAGAAATAGAGACGATTTTTTAGTGACTAGGTATACAGGTAGTGTAGTGAACAGAACACGTGTGATGACAATCGAATGTATTTAGCACAAAATTACAGAGTTAGTTGGTAAAATAGAAAAACCATATAGTAAAT